AATAAATCACTGTGGTATACTAGGGCACTGCATTTCAACAACAGATGACAGAGGGAGCAGAGTTGATGGCTTTATTGAACTCAGGCTTTGAAGTCAATCAGGCCATGGTCCAAATTCATACTAAATGTGTGATGTAGAAAAGTTACTGAGCCTGATATTCATGTTCTCATCTATAAAATGGAAATATTAATCGTACACATGGATTTGGGGAAGATTAACTGAGGTTATACAAGCCCACAAAGCATATTAGTGTAGTGCTTATGACATAGCAATCCCTTAATAAATGTAGTTATTATCATTATTATTTTATACTAGTAGCAAGTCTTACATGTGTTAGGAGCAGACAACAAAAATAACAGACTGACCAGCTCCAAGGGTTGCCAGTATGCAGCATGAATCTGCAATACTTCCTCAGTGTTCATAAAAGCAGGCAGGATAGAGCAAACAAGTTCAAGGTCAAGAGACACTTGCTTATACAAGCAGTGCTGGCAGCCAGATGCCACTGTAAAAGCTTAGATTTAACCTAAACTGGCCTAAGAGATTACAAACTGGCTTCCCGGCCCTATGTCTGTGGTAGGAGGTCTCCTGGAAGCAGGAGACAGGCTGTGATTTTTCCTTCATGCCTCAGAGTCTCCTTCATTTTAAATAGGCAGAGAAACTCTCGGGTAACAGTATGACTGTACATCAGCTGGGATAAAGTGACCAGCCAAGACTGGGGAGTGGGGAGCCGAGGGGTCACTGATTCATCTGAACATGGTGTTTCAAGAGCTGCGGTGTGCTCATCAAACACATGCTTACAAGCACCTGTCAAAACCATGACCCACTCTTCTGGACTGGGTGGTAACTTAGAGTAATGGTGACAATTTCCTTAGCTTACTAGCATGGTGGATCAGTAGGGGTGGAAAAACCCCAACATTTCAGTTACTGGAGCTGAGAAGCATGATTCCTTTATCCTCCCTATTTTAAAACAGGCACCTCCTCTAAGAAAGAATATGACTTCTCCTTTTAGTGGCAGAAATGGAACAAAAGCCCAGTTCCTAAACTAGTGAGGGACATTTGGGAAAGCAAAATCATATCTGAGATTTCATTCTCTAATCTATAATCCATAGATCCTAATATCAGCCCTGCCAACCTCATAAGTCAGTTATGAAAACATAACAATACTAACTTAAAGTTCAAGGATACTTTATAGCTTTCTAAAGGTGTTCTCATGCTATCTTCACTGGTCCCCAAAGGATGACAATAACATCTATACTCTCATATTAATTCCCCTTTTCAATTTTCTCTTAGCACAGTGCCAGCCAAAACACACAAAACAATGCCAACATTCTAGTTCAAAACAGGAAACCTAGCAGTCTGTCAATAAAGGAGAATCAGCAGACCCAGGATGCGATTTAATTCTGCTGAGATAAAGGCAGCACTTCTTAAAAGGACTATTGTTCTTGGAGTACTCTGCTCTCTCCTGTAGGATCGATAGTATGGTTGGGAGATAAAGTCAAAAGGTAGTCAAGTAAGGAAGAAGGCTTTCCATTGAACAGTCTCAGACTCCAGGACCAAATAGTCTCAGGCTCCAGTGGGTCAAAGCCTTGTAGTAGATCTTGAAGCCTCAGCCAATCATCTTTAAGACAGCTACCATCTACACCCACCAGCAACTCTTCCCCTCCCTTTTCATCCCTCCTTCTTTCAACAAATATAAACTGAGTACCTAATAAGTGATAGACACTGGTAAAATCATTGAGGAAAAACAAAACAAAACAAAACACAATCTTCTTTATGGGTTTTAGAGTTTAATTGTGAAGACAAATTAAGTCATCATATAACTATACCTAGTATTACAGGGAAGGTAGGTACTCAATGAGCAATAGGCCATCTTGGCAACCAAGATCAAGACAAGACTCCTGTCAGAAAGCTGCAACTGCCTGTGTACCCAGCACAGCATTGGTACGCACCCCAGTAAGGGTGCCAAACGGGGGTTAAGCACGTGCTGGGATTCTCCAGCTGCAACAGAAGCCACACCGCCAATCAGTAAGGGGACAAAAACAGGAGGAGGGTGTAATTATCTACCAATCACCAACACTCTAGGCAGGCAAAAACACGCTGCCTTCCAGCTGTTTGTATATCATTAGAAAAGAAATTAAGATATCATTAGGAAGAAATTAAATAACGTTTGTGTTGTCGTGACAACAAAGATGCAGGCTGCCAAATCCTGCTTGAGCAGAGATTGCCCACACCCAGCCCCTTTCTAGAGATCAACTCGATAGAGATTAAGGGGGAGACATTGCCTTACCGGTTGTCTTCCCCTTGTAGAATATCTTCATGTCCATCAGCCCTGTGAGCTGGCTTGCCAGAATTGCCATCTGAGACCCACTGTATTTGGAAGCTCGGAATATGCTAAGCTGTGACCAGTCATCCCAGTAGATTTCATTCTGAAAGGAAAACCTTTGCTCTTTAGTCCAACTCTTCAGTCCTTTATTCGGGACCCTCAGTAAAAAATAGAGCTCCATCTTGTAGTGGACACCTAGCAAGCACTGGCTAAATGATGGGCCAAATTAAGATTATACTTAAATCCATGACTCAGTGATTTTATCAAACCTACCAAGTATCTACACTAAAGGAACTGCCCAAAAGAAACTATATGATAAGCATTCAAGTTTGACCACAAGCCCAACCCTTCAGTTAGAAATTTGCTTCCCAATGTTGGGAAGAATCTTTTGTTCCCTAGAGCAGGGGTTCCAAATCTCCGGGCCATGGTCTGTTAGGAACCAGGCCACACAATAGGAGGTGAGTGGCAGTCGAGCGAGTGAAGCTTCATCTGTTTTTGCAGCCTCTCCCCAGTGGTGGCATCACTGCCTCAGCTCCACCACAGCTCATCAGGCATTAGATTCTCATAGGAGCACTGGTCCCTGGTGCCAAAATGGTTGGGGTCTGTAGAGTCAAAACAGAAGTGACAGGCAACGCAGGTAGTGCATTACAGAAAAAAGTGAGCAAACTTCACAAGAGACAGAGCCATGGAGTCAAAACAATACCACCGACACTGAAAGGCAAGCTGGGAATTTTGTGTGAAGTAACTTCAACCTTTAACCTTTTGAAATGTGACAGTGAGCATCCTGGAACCCTGGCACCTCTGTCTGGCATCCCTTCTTTGGGTTGAAAGAAACTATGTCAAATTCAGAAATGAGTTGGTTTTCTGGAAGTTAGACAAGCATCTCTGCAAAAACCCAGAGATAGTAGGTTCTTCACTTCAGTTGCTCTTCACCTACTCTAACAGACCCTATGCTGGGAACAAATGAGTCCCTACCTTAAAGACAGCAATGGCGTAGGGATGTGGGAGGTTGTCCAGGATAATCGAGCGCCGCTGGCCGCTAAAAGTGATACGCTCAATGCAGTCCAGGTAGGCATCTGTCCAGTAGACCCACTGGTCATCCACGGAGATGCCATTGGGCCATTTCACATCCTCGGACACAAGGCGACGGACAGCAGAACCATCCATATTGCTACGATAAATACCAGGCTTCAGGTCTCCCCAGTCAGTCCAGAACATCACCCTGGTCAAAACCAGAAAGAACACACAGTGCGTCAGGACTAGGAAATGGGAGCTCAAATGCTACTCCAAGGAGGTGAGAAGCCCCTCCAGAAAACTCAGGCTGGTTATTTCAGCATTATTATTACAGTATGTAATTGTAATACTTAAACCACTTAAACCACTTAATTCCTTGGCCCAAAAATTCCTTTACTGGAATTAATCTACTGATACAATCAAGTTATGCAAAGACAAGGTATAAATATGGTCATCACAGCAAAGAGTGTTCATACTAGGAAAAATATATATATGTATATACTTTTAAATAACATTTATATATGTATACACACACATATGTTAACCTATAGAAAAAGTGATATGTTATGGTACATACAAAAGACTATTAGGAAGCCTAAAATATATATGTGCTCACATGAAACTATCTTCAACACATTAAATTTTTCAGTAAGTGCAGAATAGTAAATATCCTATTATTCTATTTGACGCAAATGTGTACATATGTTTGTCTCTGAGTGTTTTAAGGATACATGCTTGTACATGGATTAAAAAAAAATTCTGAATGAGACATAAGAAACTATGAACCCCTAGGAAGTGTAAAGAATTAAGAGTGAGAAAAGAGGAAACAAATATTGTTCATTTCATATACTTCTGTTCCCTTTTAATATTTTTAATCAAGTACATATATTAATTTCAGGGTTTTCTTTTAAAACATAGATCTAATCCTCAATCATAAATGCTACAAGGAAGGATAGAAAGGCTACTCCAGAATTTCCCTTTTAGTTATGTTTCTTTAAGTTAATAAAGTAATAAAAAGCACCTCTGCACTCTCCAAATGCATACAAATTGCTATTAAGGAAACCTATACATGCTGGAGTGCAGAGAATAGATGAAATGGATTAAATGTCTATACCACGTGTGAAATTCAAGATAAAGAATCCTCACAATATCCAACCAGGCCCTACTATGAGTACATAGAGATTTTTATTATTACCTTTTGTTAGAGAAACCCCCCCAGATGTGAGACATCTGGATGCCTAAAGAGATTCTGATGTTTGCTAATGAAAAGTTACCTGACCAAGACTATGGTTTCAAAACTCTGTTAATAGATTATTTCAATCAGAATAATGAGAAACAGAGTTTTTGTTCAGCAGTTTCCATTTCCGTGAGAATCTGTTTGCTACAGCATTTGACACACACTGACTTCCACCGGGGCCGCACTTACCCCTCCTGCGGCATGAGGACCAGAGCTCTGGGCCGATCAAGCACAGAGGAATTGACGATGGTGAGTCGGAAGTCACCATCGGGATGAGCTACCTGATTAAAAAAAAAAAAAGAGGAAGTAAAAAGGCCAACATGGATCTGAGCTCCTTAAAAGGCCCACATTGCCAAGTCTCCTGCTCAGCAGCTCCTGTCTATGGACATGTCTCTCTATGGCCACCTCCTCTACAGACTGATCTGGAAAATCTGCTCCTAACTCCAGTCAAAATGAGTTGTTCCCTCCTCTGACTCATGTGACAATTCTCACAGGGACTGACTGAGGAGCAAGCACCCCCTGTGCCCCTATTCCCAGAACATGGTGATGATCTGCACAAAGTACTCAAATGTGTTTACTTATTTTACCTGCCTACGTTACCCCATGCCCCAATCAACAATGGCTCAACACTCTCCACAGAACAAATTCTCAATGTCAGAGCCTTGCAATTAAGAGTCTCCATTTCAGCTCCCATGATTTCAGCAACACTGGTCTTCTCACGGTTCTCTAAGCCTGACATACTCCTGTCTATTCTTGCCATATCCCCTCTTGGCACTGTCCTCTACTCTCTAATCAAATCCTATCTTTCTTTCAAAATTCATCCCCAGGCCTTCGTTCTCTGCTAACTCTTCTGGTCAATGGGCATCTCTAGCTCTCATCATTGACTCACCTGAAACCATTGTGCACAAGCAGTGTTTGAGTTGTACACTGGTCTCCCATCAAGCCTATGAGAGTGTGAATACTTAAGCTTTGCCTGCATCCTTCTAATAACCAGCAGAGACAGGCCACACACAATTAAAGAAAGGGAAGAAGTACTAATAACAATACCAACAATACAGTACTAAGTATGTGCCAGGTACTGTGCATCTTTTCATTCCTTTCTCTCAGCTACCCTATGAGGCGAACACTCTAATGATCCTCCTCTCCTCAGTCAGGGATCAACTCAGATGTCACATCCTCAAGGTGCCTCCTCTACCCACCTTTTCTAATGCTGTCCCACTGCCCAATCACATGATCACACGTCCTTTGATGTTTTTTGCAGCACTTACCACCAACAGAACTGATCGACTTATTTTTTCATTATTTTGCTTCTCCACTAAAATCTACTCTGTATCAGAACCTGTATACCTTGTCTACTGCTGTATCATCACAACCTAAAGCCACACCTGGCACATGTCTTGTACTCAAAAAGCACTTGTTAAATGACTCAGTGAATGGATGAATGAATCTTCACCTTATAGATATAGAAATTGAAACTTGAGTCACTTACCTACCAGAATAAAGACTGAACCCAGGCCTATCTTTCAAGTTTGTGGCTTTCTGGGTCTCCCAGTTTCTACTGTGTTTTCTACTTTACCCGCAGGCCATACTTCCACAGAGAATCAATATAAAGAGGTGCTGAGGCAGTGCCCCAGGGCCTCAGCAGTAACTTTCAGGAGTTGGGTGTACCTATATTCCTGGAAACAATGATTTTGGTGGTTTAGAGGCCATTTCTTACCCTCATGTTGTCTTGGCAGCTAAACTGCAGATAGATGAAGTGAGGAAAATAGGAATACTTACCTTACAGGGTTATTGTGAGAAGTAAATCAAATATTTCCTACAAAGTAGTTCCAATAGGGCTTGGCACATACTAAGTGCTCATCATCATCATTAATAATAATGGTAATGATGATTGTGATATTATTATTACTCTAATAGACTATAATAATACTAGAGTATTGATGTTATAGCATTTTAACAATGACAATGAATTATTATTATCATTGTTACTACTGTTTCTTCTAGCCAAAATATAAACTTTCAGGTATCTTAATGAAATCTGTTTGATGAATTCTGGTTCTCCTATAGGACCTTCACAGCAGTGAGTAATAATGAGACTATCCTGCTTTTCTTCCTTCTCCAGAGGTTCAGCTGGTCCACTCTCTGGAATTCTCTGAAAAATTCCAGAGTAATGTGACACACTAATTCCTATGTCTGTGTCAAATCTGGCTTAAAGCCCAGTTGCTCCCCCTACCCACTTAACTAAGGACAGCAGGGGAATACACATACCTCAATCTTTTTAAAGCCAGCATCCACCCAGTAAAGTAACTGGCTGAGAGGTTCAAAGGCCAAGGCTTCTACTGTCTCCAGGCCAGAACTGATGATCACCTCTTGCCCTGTACTCCCATTCAAACAGAGGCGCTGAAGACAGAAAAAAGAAGAAATGTTGTAAAATGCTCAAATGACCTCCTGCCAAATCAGTCCCATGGATGGTAACCCTTTATTCAACTGACTTGACTGGCAACGGATGAGATGTTTTGGGTTTTTTTTTTTTTTTTTTTAACATTAGTAAACTTTCTAGATGAATGAAACCAGTTTTTAATAAAAGCATTTCTAAAATGTATCATGGCTTCCTGTTCGAAGCAGAATAACTAAACAGAACTTAATCATCTGTATTACTCTGCATTATCATGATGAACAATGGCCAATGAACCATGCTGTATCACAATAACAAGGCAGAGATAACTGAGATACATGAGTCTGTTTTCCTTTTAAAATAAATGAAACCAGATTGGTATTATTTTTAAACTCTTATGTCTGCTTTTTACAGTCTCCCTCCCTTGAGAGGCTCTTAGCCATCAGAAGCTATTGTTGGGACAGCTACACTCAGCAGTCACCACTGTCTCCTATCCCCACCCCCTCAAATACCCAAGCACTGTAAAATCTCTGTTGGGTTGGAAGTCCAGATAAAACTTATTGGAATTGCTTTTCTAAAAGGATTGAAGATCAAATAGCTCTCCTTTAAAGTGCATGGGTTTAAATGTACGGCTAGCTATCTGGACTGTGAGGGGATCTTTACAGCTCACTTCCTGGTTCTTGACTGTGCACAGAATAGCTGAAGTGGATCATTACATAAACTATGGGTAAGTCAAGTGTGACTATATTATAGCTTAGGAAGAAGGACGCTGCGGGGCAGGTGGTATGATTGGGAGTGACTAATAATCCCATATTCCTAGTCTTAAAATCTTCCCAGAGGGAAAAGTGAGACCTCACTTATAAGTAAGACCACAGATTTGGGAGTGTCTTTGTCCGTCCTACAAGGAAAGAAAATAACTAAAGTAGAAAACTGAAACGTTTTATCAGTCAGCCCTGAGATGATTTTTGGCTTAAAATTTCTTATACTTGCTTTCTTGGGTCATTGCAAGTCACAGCGCTCAGGACCAGACCAAGGGCTGACTCACCTGGATGATATCCAAGGCCAGGTCAGACCAATACAAGCAGTTGTGCTCATAGTCAAAGTCTAGGGCCACTGCTGCCCGCAACCCAATGAGAGGCAACTGCTCAGTGGCTCCTGAGGCTAGGTCATAGCGGTGGATGGACTTCCGCATAGCATATAGGATGAATTCGTTCTCCTCTGCACAGACACACAAAACAATAGGGAGAGTGAATCTAGACGACGCTGAAGAGATCCCAGCATGTCTGACCCATTTTTTCCCTCACACACAAACCTCAGAGCCACTGGCACATGGCGTAGATCAAGTGAAAGAGCACAGGAATCCAGGCTTAGAAAGTGTGTAACAGAAAAACATTTCTGCCTTGGGCATGTTACTTAAACTCGTGTGAATCTTAAACAAGTTTCCTCATCTGCAAAGTGTATTATTTATTATTTTTTTGGTTTGTTTTTAATCTAAATTCCCCCAGTAGGCATGCTCCAACATCCAAACTTATGAACTCAGCCTAAAAATCACTAATCACACTTGACAAAATAATGACACCAGTCAGTATGCTGTCCTCATCATATGCCTGTATCACATGGCACCATAATTTTGTGAACTAGAAGACTTGTAGCTAAATTTTCTAATCTGTAGACTTGTAGTTAAGTTTTCTAATCTGTTTGTTCACCTGTTCAATATTGTTCACAATGGCATATGCCAATTATACCAATCTATTACATTTTTAAAACAATAATACATTTGTTCTTGACTACTTACAAAATGTTTTCCAACATAATTTTCACAAAAATCCTATTCCTACATAACACTTACACAATGCACATACTATGTAACAGACACTGTTTAATCCACATTAACAACTGTATAATGGGAGAGCTACTATAACACAATTTTAGAAATGAAAAAAATGAGATCAAAGAGGTTAAGTAACTCACTCAAGGTTACACAACTACTAAGAGGCAGAGCCAAGACTCGAACCCAGCAGTCTGGATCCAAAGTTTATATTTTAAACACTATACAATGCTGCCTCTTATTATGTAAATACTAATATTGCCATTTTTAAGTTGTAGAAATAGAAGCCCAGAGTTCCTAAAGAGACTTACTTAATGACAGATAACAAGTAACTGGAAAAACTAGTGCTCTCTCTTCCATTTAGGGAACAGCTTGGAAAACACTAAGATTCTTCCAAGAGAATGGAGATGAGCAACATACGGGAACCCATGTTGAAAGCACCCAATACATTGCACATGAGACCAAATGCAAATAAATCTGAGTTCCTTTGCTGAATGTCCACATAGTTACTGCTGTTTTGGTTTTATTTTCCCTCCCTTTCTAATTCCATTTATTCACTGAGTTAACATGTACTAGACACCTGCTTTATAAAGGCTTCAATATAGATAATGCACAAAAATATAAATCTACCTACAACTTTTAATAAAGTTTACCTTCTTTTCCTTTGGTCTCACACTTCAGTTCAAAAGTATTTAAGCTACCTCATGATAATTAATCTCTCCTTTCGATTTCAAGAAAACCTTTCCACTATAATTCCCAGTTAAGGGGGCAGTCAAGATGAAACTGTCCAGCTTGTAAATGACATTGAAATCAAGGACTCTTGCCAAAGCTGCCACATAGAATCATGGAGAACACATTCACAGCAGCAAGTCTTTCACTCCCTATCTCTCTCTAATATCTATAAACCTCATTTTGTTGCTTTGTTTTTTTTTTTCTTCTGACCAACAAATGCCTTCACAGTAGAGTCTGAGTCCAGAAATACTTGCTTTAGGATTAGGTACAAAGGAACATGAAACATTTCCATGTGTAATACTTAACTTAGAAAAGGAAGAGAATTCCTTGGTCAATTCCAGCCATACATGAGCACAGCATAGAAATCTATGTTACTACAGCATTCATAAAAGAAAAAAAATACTTACTTCATTTAAATTAAAATCCTTTCAGATGCCCAGATTATCTCATCTTTGCAAAGATGTTATGGTTCCCACTGGTCTTATGAAACCATCTTTTCCTTCCTTGGTACATCCCTGCCTTTAGTTCCATTTTTTTTAATATAATATTTAGAAGGTGGCTTATACTACAAATGAGATTTGTTTCCACTTCATTCCCTGTTCTATCCTCTCCTTTATCAAAATAGCTTTCTTATCAGTTTAAACAACTTTAAATGAACTGTTTTGTCCCTCGCTAAATTATCTTCGGAAATATTTATTATAAAAGTATGTACTACAGCCCCTTAAGAACAATCATTCAAACCCTACTAACCCAAGCCCTCATCAATAACAGCTCTTGTGAAGGGGATATTTGAATATTATCTGCTCATTTGTGAGAATATGCTGAAGTCATGTTCTTTTTAAGTCTCCACAGTGGGTATGCTAATTACTCTGGTTATGATGGAAGATTAAATTAAGGGACTAATGAGCTTAGCATGAAAAATACAGGGCAAGCTGGTGAGCAGTGAGCAAAAGAGAGAGCCACTCTGCCCTGCCTGCAGAGGATGACATGCTTCTCTCATGATTCATTTGGCATTTGTAGCTGTTCCATTAGACAACACCACTGCTGATGGAAGTCAGCCCCGATCATTTCCCTTCACCAAGAGGTATGAGCAGGATGAAGGGCTCAGAGGGAATAAGGAACCTCTACACAAATAAGAACTAGAAACAGAGTGAAGAAAAAAAAAAGATGCTAAGAGATTAACTCTTTGTTAAGAGATCAAAATTTCATGTGTGTATTTCAAAATACCTCAACATGTGCCATCACCACTAAATCAACTTAAAACATACTTAGAACACACTATATCTTATAGCGTGTGCATGTACTCCAAAAAAGTTTTTCTTAATTAGTATGCATAATGATCATCTAAGATAATGGGAATGACATTTATTTGCCACTTGGCTGATGTCTAGGTGAGCATGGGCTTAGAATCTGAATTTTAGCTTTGTTACTTACCAGATGTGACCTTAAATAAGTCATTTAACCCTCTACTTTGATCATGCTTCTTCATATTAAAAAAAATGGAGCTAATGATATCTGTCTCACTGGGTAGTCATAAGAATTAAAATGACGACACATGGAAAAGTACATTAAAATGTATAAAATTCTGTTAAAATATTGTTCATAATTATTTTTACAAAAATTAAGATAGACCAATTAGCTACTTCTCAAAAATCCACAAGTCTCTATATTCCGCTATGACAAACAGATCAAGGTACACACAAAAGGCCTATGGGCATCCCTCATTTCCCCATGCCTAGAATACAACAGATGCCAAATAAACATTTTTCAATGAACAAAGGAGATTTCTTTCAAAAAACATTCTCCATTCCTATAATGTCATAAGTCTATAAATAAATTTAGTTTGGATCCCAAGTTTAGAGAGCTCTGTGATGCTTGTAACTTCTACTCTTTTTCTCCGCTAAGTTAGAAGAGCCACAAGGCTGAATTTGGGTGAGATTATAATTATGCTTCAATGATGGCTCAAGAAGTCAAAGGAAAGAAATCACCTCTTACCTGCCAAGGGACAGGGGACCAGTTCTCCTTCCAGTCGTGCTTCAACATCTCCTCCACTACAAGTGTCCCCAGAAATCTTCCGATAGCTGTCATCCCCCACCCCAAGAGCAAGAGGTCAGAAACACCAAAGAACAGTCACAAAGGCTTTGTAACTGGGAATATATTTCCTATCCAAGGACAATGAAGTTCATCTATTCACTTCTCCATAGAATAGGAAGAAGGATGTTTAATCATTCTGAATCGGTTCTGTTTGCAATTAGATTAGGCAACCCAGACAATTTGGAGTGCTGTCCTAGGCAATAGTTTTATATATATATCTCTTCAAAAAACTCCTATGAAGATATATCCTTACTAAAATTTGTGACTTAAGATACAACTAGAGTTGTAAAGAAACTTACAGACTTGCATTTTTTTTTCTCACTGAGGGCAGAAGAATTTGCAAATGTCAATGCCCAAACTACTTGAAATTTGCTAACTTAGAAATCTAGCATTTGGAGTATGAAAGATACCTAGGTGGTCCACTATGCTCTCTCATATCAAGGGCAGATCTCCACCCCTCCACAGTGTCCCTGACATGGCAACCTTTGTGAGACGTACCCTCTTGTTCTCCTGTAAGTAGAACCCACTGGACAAGGCACAGGAGGGGAGTATGATTTCCCAAAAAACTCTGGATCGGGAACACAAACCTCTAGTGACAAATCTTCACTCATCTTGAAGCCGAAGTCACTGAAAAGGCAATCAGGGTTTGTTAAGGCCACTGGTTTACACACTTCGGGCATTTCAGTACCAACCCTTGTGACTTCTGCCATACTGCCTGCCACCTGTATTATAAGTTAATGTACCTCTTAAAGACTACTCACTTTTCTGCACTAATACATTTCCAAAAGAAACGTGATATCAGAACCATAATTACAAACCACTATCATATGACATAAACAAAAACAATATAAATCATGCAAAAAAAAAATAATATTCATTTTTTTGCTAGATCCAGTTCCCTATCCAAAGACGCTGGGCCTGCCCTCTCTTTGTTAAAAGGGATTAGCAAATGTTAAAGAATTACTAACACCTAGTGAGACTTTCTTCTTAACATGATTAGAATAATTAAAAGAAATTTAAAAGAACAGTACTTTTTCTTAACAAGGTTTTGTTTTTTTTTTTACTAACGTTATTTAAGACCATGTCCACGTACTACTTAAAATCACCTTGGGTGCCTCATCCTGCACTTTGGGACACAGTGGTTTGATCCACGAGACCTTCTGCATTTTGGGGGCCACATCTCTGCCAAATCACCCAGCTCAAGGGGCCGAGTAGCAAGCAGGGGGCCCCGGCCTATTCTCGGCTCTGCCCTTAACCACATGACTTCCCTCGGATGCACTGAACAGCTCTAGGATGAGCTGTGCTGTATACTTCCCAAGGCCCTGCCCAAACTGGAATTTTGCAATTCAAAGGTATTTTCCACCTGAAAGGCTTCATTTACTCTTTTTGGTTCAACAAATATTTACTGAAACACCTACTATGAAAAGTATTAACAAGTACAGGGCAAAGAGGTTTGTGTTTATATTGTGTCATATCTATATTTAGCACTTTGTAGAAAATTATTCAAAAGGGTTTTATTACTGTATCAAAGAGGTCTTATTCCTTATATTAGGTAATTTTTACTGGATGGGTGCTTTAAATCTTTTGGGGGACTAAGTGGAACATTAGCTAATTGCTTATTTTCCTCCAATGGCAGAGCACCCTTCTTAGGCAGGTTTCTTCAAGCTGTAAGCAATAACGTAGAAGGCAGTAAAAGCACTTTAGAAGGTTAAAACCAGCTTCCTGCCCCGCCTTCCCCCAAAAACAGAAGATTGCAAAATTTGTCACACTTAAAAGTAAATGTTATCTCATAAAACTTTTGTTTTAATTACATGCATGTATGTGTCTACATATATAAGTATGTGTAGGTACAGGGTCATACCAGAAAATGCACTGTGTACTAGGGGTTGCAAGTCAAGAATTTGAAAGCCACACTTCTTGGCAGCGTGGGGAAACATGGAGATGTAAAAGAGTCAACTATATATATATATACACACACACACATACATACATACACACACACACACACACACATACACTTTGAAATATATATATACTTTGAAATATATATATATTT